TAGGTGGGTTAGCCATGGGAAATGCGGGGTTACAGGGGTGCGCAGGCTAGGTGGGTTAGCCATGGGAAATGCAGGGTTACAGTAGGGGGTTGGGTCTGGGTGGGATGCTGTTTTTGGGACTTTGTGGACTCGATTGGCCAAATGGCCTGCTTCCACACTGTAGGAATTCTATGAAGCCATTTATTCAAAATAAAACTCATTCTTAAACCAAATGACAATTAATGTCAAAGTTATGATGCAGAATTAAAACTTTGTCGCCTTAATCCCAACCTGCACCCACCTTCACAGCACAAAAAGATAACAGTCTCTACAGAGATTTTTTTAAAAAGAAATGTAAGTAACATTAAAAAAAAGACTTGGTCAATGGTTTAAAGACAAACAATAGGATATGATGATTTCTCATGGCATACTGGATCCTGTCATAGAGTCATACAGCACGGAAACAGACCCTTCGGCCCAACCAGAGAATGCTGACCTAATCCCAGACTAAACTAGTCCCACTTGCCTGCTCCCATATCCCTCCAAACCTTTCCTATTCACATACTTGTCTTTTAAACTTTGTAACTGTACCCGCATCCACCACTTCCTCAGGATGTTCATTCCACACGTGTCACCCTCTGTGTAAAATATTTGCCCCTCGTGTCTTTGTTAAATCTCTCTCCTTGCATCTTGAAAATGTGCTGCTTGTTCTTGAAATCCCCCATCCGAGGGAAAAGACAGCTATCATTAACTCCATCTATACCCCTCGTTATTTTGTAAATTTCCATAAGGTCATCTCTCAATGTCCTACGCTCCAGTGAAAAAAAAGTCCCAGCCTATCCAAGCCTTTCTTTGTAACTCAAACCCTCCATTCCCTGCAACATCCTGGTAAATCTCTTCTGAACCCTCTCCAGCTTGATAATGCCCTTCCTATAACAGGGAGACCAGAACTGCACACATTGCTCCAGAAGGGGCCTCGCCAATGTTCTGTACGACCTCAACATAACGTCCCAACTCCTATACTCAAAGGACTGAGCAATGAAGGCAAACATGCTAAACGCCTTCTTATCCGCCCTCCACCCCCCCCACCCCACCCCACCCCACCCCCCAACCCCCACCTGCCTATATGTGATGCAAGCTTCAAAGCAACCCAGGTCCCTCTGTTCTACAACGCTGTGCTGAAATTGGTCAGGCACAGACTGATGGAAAATATTCAGTTTCTGATTGCAACCAATCTGGATTTGAGCCCTGCAAATCAGTCAGCGTTAATTTTTTATTCAGTTTTGTAACAAACTCTGGCACATGGGAATGTGACCAGGTCTGCAGAAACTTCGCCTGGGAAAAAAAATATTTGTGGAGAGAGTTTTGTCTTCACTGGCAGAGTCGGAGGTTCCGAAATTTCTGTACAATTAGGAGGGTACGATGAGAAACCAGGTGTCCACTAGCATCGGGGACTTCATAACCTTCTCAAAACCGGGTGTTCCAGTATTTAAGTGTCATAAATCACATTTTGTATTTTCTTAAAGGCTTTGCTTGGATCTTCTCCAAAGTCAGCTGATGGCTCACAGCAATCAACAGTCAATTTCATTCCTTGATAAAGCCACATCATATTCTTTCCCTTCTGGAAAATATCCAAACGATTCCATAAATTCCAAATTTTCCAAGTGATCTTTATGTATTACTGTGTATTTCAAACACCATTAGATATTGCCAGGACAGTCAAACTCTGGGAAATCATCACTAAATAAATTCTCTCTCACCCCCCTACACTGTCCCCCCCATCAAACACCCCCAGAACAGGGACAGCACGGGGTTAGACACAGAGTAAAGCTCCCTCTACACTGTCCACCCCCATCAAACACTCCCAGGGACAGCATGGAGTTAGATACAGAGTAAAGCTCCCTCTACACTGTCCCCATTCAAATACTCCCGGGACAGGGACAGCACGGGGTTAGATACGGAGTACAGATCCCACTACACTGTCCCCCATCAAACCCTCCCAGGACAGGGACAGCACGGGGTTAGATACGGAGTAAAGCTCCCACTACACTGTCCCCCATCAAACCCTCCCAGGACAGGGACAGCACGGGGTTAGATACAGAGTTCAGACCATTCCCAAAGTCCCCCCCACACTCTGATCCTCACAGATTGTAATGGAAGGAAGTGGCAGTGGTTTCACTCGAATGGGAGTCAGGAATTTCACTGGTTCTCTCTGTCTCTCTCATACAGCCCCTCCGACATTGATGGGGAACAGCTTGTAATGGAGGCCCTGGCCCAGGTGAGTAGTCAGAGTGCTGGAGGGAAGAGGCTGTGGCAATCATCGAGGGACTGTGGGAGAGAGTGTGCAGAGGACGAAGGGGCAAAGTGTTGAGGAGATGTAGGAATGTGGAGGAGGGAGAGGGAGATCAAGAACGGAGGGAAGTAGGGATGGGATGAAGGTGACAGCGATGGAGAAGGGTGAGAGCATGACAGGGGTGGTTGGAGGGAGAGTTTGCAGAGAGTGAGAATGAGGGAGGGTTGGTGGGTGAGGAGGGAGGGAGGGAGGGTGAGTGAAGAGGGAGGGAGGGTGAAGTGTAGAGGGAGGGCGGGAGGGAAGGTGAGTGAAGAGGGAGGGAGGGTGAGTGAAGAGGGAGGGAG